TGGGGCTTGCGGACGAAGGTGTGAGTTGCAGGTCGGACGAGCTGCTTGTGCCTTTGCCGCGCACTTTCAAGCGGCAAAAGGGGTGCGACAACAACACTTGTCCGCCTGCCTACTACCACCGGGATGGAAGAGGCGAGCGCGCCTTATCGTGGAGCGTGCCTTTAACAGTGCACCTGGTAAACCGGGGATGTCGCCAACCCACCATATCCCTCCCGCCATCCAGTCCATCCAATCCGAGGTAGTGTGTTCTCTGGTCATCACGCGTGTTTGCCCCTCCACCTCAACGGCCGAGGCAAAGATATCACATTCGTCCACAAGTTCAGGGCCCTGTAAGGCAAACTTGTGGACTCACCCAGAGTACTTTCACACTACACCGGGACTTATTAAGAATACATTTTTTACCGAGTCGTTATGCACGAGCGCGTCTCCTCTTCTTATCTAGAGTATTGGAGAAGATAGTGGAATGCCCTCTCCCCCAAGGTGGTCATATGGCGCGATCCCATTGACATGAGGGCGCACAGGCCGCTATTGCCCCATCCTGCTGCGGCCCGACAACGCGTCCGTATCACCTGCTTTCAATTCCAGTATATTGATTCGGTCTGAAATGCTTTGGGTCTCAAAAATGTCGCTTGATCTCGTGAGTTCCGAAGATGCTAATAAAAGAGCGAACTACTCGCGGCTGTCCTGATGCCCAAGGCTAGACAACAGGCAAGCAGATATGTTGCGCGATCGATTGTCCCGCCCACTGCAGGTGGGTAATACGGCCTTTGAGCTCGCAGGTGCCGATGGATCGCGCCAAGTAGTACACTCTCCGTGCCCCCCCCACCGACAGAATTTTCAGCCCCCGCCCCAATCCTAATTACACCCCTGGTCAACAATAGAGCATCTCGCTCCAAGCCATTTCCGGGTGTGGCTACAAAAACCGTAAAAATATTCGCTGAATTATTGTCTTTTTTAAATCAGCTGAGAATGAAATCCCATTCAGCAACACAAAATGACAAACTTTACGGTAACCACGACTAAAGACTCACCGTCGTTGTGATAGGGAGCGGAATACCTCTCATAGATATCCCCTTCATCAGGCCGGTGGCGGTAGTCTAGACGGACTTGCTGAAATTTGCAATGAGAAATCAAGATTGCTTTGAAATCTTATGGATAAGAGTGCTTCAAAGACAAGAGCAATTTGTCACTGCTCCCTTGAAAACAATAAACTGCTCTTATCTATAAGATTATGAGGTAGTTCAGATTAATAGCATATAAAAAATTCCCAAATAATATCTTCATCGAGAATCAGGAAGCAGGAATCTTAACAGACGTACCTCGTGCTTGTACGGCGATCCTTTGCTGCCGTTCTTTGGCTTGCTACTCATTTGATCTGCGCTTATTCAGTGAAAAAAGTGTTCCTCGAGAGAAAGGGAGTGAGCTGATCCGGAATGGTTAAGATGAAGGCGAGGACTGCGGTGGTCCACCTGCCAGCGGACGCGGATTGCAAACACTGTAGCTGTCAACGCCGTCAACCGTCCGTCGACGACAGCTCCCGAAATGGAAGCCACCCATCGAAAATAGGCGTGCTGTTACCGTCGTCATTTGAATCGCAATGATCTTTGGCTCTTGAAAAAGTTCATAAATAGAGACACCCATATTTCTTACAGGTTCCGAAAGAAAGCCAATTGTTTTGAAGGCTGGGCATTCTTCCAAAATGTTTCATGAGATCGGTTTGCTTCTTACCTTCACGGAAACCCTATTTTTTGCAGGAATAGAAGCAATAAAAAGGTGTTAGGTTTCGTTCCTTACAAAGTTATTAGGTGGAACATACATCTAACTAGCCTTTACGTCGACTCAGTTGGTACCTTCAGAGGCCGACGGTTCCTCCAGTTCATGCGAGCGCTGGTTGGCTGCAAATCGTTATTAATAAGAATGAAAAACAACATACCAGGTAGGATATCTTCTGAATTGTCTTGTGGTTTGTATGTAAATGAAAATACGTATATCAAACCTTGACTCCAATAACCCATAGTAAAACAACAATACTAATAATTCCCGATTTGAGGAATCCCCCCCCCCCCTCCACATAAATCACTGGCTTGAGACCCATCGTTCACGATAAGAACGAAAAAAACAAAAAATTGCATTTGTTTTGGTAAAAATTCGAAAAACGAAAGGGCTGCTACGCGTTCAAATTCCCGCCGGACATCTGTCACAAATGCTGGCGACGGGATGCTTCCACTTGGTTCTCGGAGTGCTGTCACTAGAAACTCTTTTTGGCCTTTTGACTTATTGCATTAACATCTCACACTTCTACTCTATCGAATTTTGTCTCTATTCTCCAAAATCGAACGCTTCAACCCGATTCTTTCATGCGTCGCCTGATACGTAGCCGCCCCAGGCGCACTTCTTTCCATGCCCCGCCTTTAGGCGCCGTGCGTCTACCTTCGACCGTCTATAGTGCGGTTTTCGTTAGTGTGTTCCTCTTCGGAAACTGAATCATTGTGCGTGAAAGTTCTGCTGCCTCTAGTGATCACAGCTCACATATCCGTGTTAAGGAAGAATGAAAAGAATTCTAGGAGATTCCTGTGAACGAGTATTCAGCATGGTTGTTTCATTTTTAAAGAAACCCTCACCGAAAGCTCCGCCCTCATTACCACAGAAAACGATACCTTAAAGGAATCTTCCACGGAAAGAGTGATCATTTTGTCTTGTGTGTAGGATTAGTATTATCGAAACTAACGCTTATGTTCCGTTCTTTTTGCTATGCTCATGAGGCTAGGGGCCTAAGGGGTATCGTTTTTCTGTGGTAATGGAGGCGGAGCTTTTTCCGCGGAAGATTCCTTTAATGTTAAGGATCTCTACGGAAAATTATCACCTAAAATTCCTACATTAAGCCCCTTGCCTCATGAAGATAGCAAAAAGAACGGAACATAAGCGGTAGTTTCGATAATAATTATGATAACCAGTTCGACTACGAAAAATTTGAATTCTCGCTGTAAAACATCCACAATATTTAGCGGCCCCATGGAGCCGCAGTGGGCAGGAGTGTCAGCCTATAGTGAACGTGAAGGATTCATGTTGGACTCCCAAGATGACACCAAGGACCGCCCTGCCATGCACTTTCTGTCACAGAACACTTCGTCCGCACTAACTGGTCCAATCCGTCACAATTAGTCTTTCACAGGTGTTTCTGCTGGGGGTTTCATCATTTTGCTCAAATTTTTGGACAGTTGGTTCTTCAACCACTATTTTGCCATACTGTACACAGTGGAGGTAAAATGATCAGTTTTCAGTGGATAATTCTTTAAGTATTTGTCGATATTGTTGGATATTTTCTAGTTTGTAGGACCAACGTACACCTCCAAATTGAAGAAATCGGATTTGTTGAACAAAATGAAGAAGTATCACAGAACTAGTCTTCATTTGAATTTTTCGACACCTCCATCAATCCTCTCATACCCAGATTTAGAACATGGTGATCGTTAAGACCTTTCTAATGGCTGCCGATTGCCATTTTGCGGTCAACCATGGAGGCAGTATTTGCTCCCGCAATTCTACAATGAAAAATGAAGACATCGAGAACACAGCATGAAAGCGAATTAGGTTGAAAATAAGTTCTCAAAGAGAGTTGCGATCGAAGAATGCGGAGCTGAAACGAAAATCGCTGCATCGGATGAGTTAGGTGGAGCCAGAGAAATCGCAGACACTACTGTTTGTTGCCGTCCAGACATATGACAGAGGATGCGCCTTGGGTAGTGCTTCAATAATACTTAGATGCAGACCAATTGACGCAACATGGGGTGAAGTATTGGAGCGCCGGTGTGTAGAAGATGAGCCTAGCGGCGCTATGTTGCGTGATCTGATTGTGAGATGGATCAAGTGGCGTTTGATGTACGCTTTCGCCAGTCCCCCAGTTTAACGGACGTAACCATGCAGTGAGTACAGATGTTTTTCACGAGCGCGGTGCGTATAGTCAGTTCCAAACATTTTTGCATGAATTTGAAGTGCGAAAGTACTAGGAGCGCAGTGAGCGGAATGGCAAGTGTTGGGCGGCAAGGGTGCTTGAAAGATTCTGTTCTTGCAATGCATCTGAGATCAATTACCCTCAAAGTGGTCAATGGTGGAAAGGGTGACTGTAGATCGTCACAGGCAGGTCCGAAGCAGTTCTGACATCCCTGTGGAGCCTGAGGGTCTAGTCGGTCTAAGACCGATGTCAGACTTTGCGAATCGCGCGATTCGCTAGCGTCTGCGGTCCCGTCCGGTGGGGCCAGTATATCCTCAGATGGTGTATCCCCGCCAACTGCGACGCGGACGCTGTAGCGAATCGCTGCGATTCGCAAGTCTGACACGGCCTATGTCGCAAGCGGCGGTCAATCGATGAAGATGTGTGATCCTCAACAGAGTTCAAGTGGAACATATTTTCCATAATTCAATTCACGATATTTATTGTAAGTTCACTTAGTTGTCTATTTAGTTGTCTCCTTTTGTTTCAATCTACAAGAATCTTCGATTTCAAAATATATCTGGAAAAAGGCATACTTCAAAAATCAAACAATGCATGTCTGGATTATAAACAAATAGGTCTCAGACATCTGTCAACCGTGAGCCTTGGCGGTTCAGCGTTTTGTAGTGATGTCTGGGAGCTCTCACAAGTGCACACTATCACAGCATCTCCTCTTTCTTTATCTTCTTCAAAAGGCTTAGTCCCAATAAGACACAAAGTGTGTGCTTTTCCAGCTACGCTCTCACCCTTTGGTTGACAGAAGCCTTGTAACATAAAACTATGGTATGATACACTCACCAATAGTATGAACTGTGACTTTCTAACGCATCTTTTGTCATACGGCAACTTTTCTGATACTTGAGTACAGGGTAATCAACTTGCTTTCCACCGACGTAAAATGAGGCGTCGCCTTCCTCCTCCGTCGCCGCTTGGGTTATATCGCCACGCAGCTTCTTTGCAGCTGGATCCTTGGTTAAGCTCTTTTCCGTTTTGAATTTGAGTCCTTCCCAGAATCTGTGGTGGTCGCTTCGGTTTTAGCCTGCGTCACCCTCTTTTTGTCATCAACATGAACGTCCTTGATTGCCAACGCTTGCTCAGTGGTGAGTTCTGTTTTAGCGACTGGTTTCTTGTCATCAACAACAACGGTCTTGAGTCCCAACGCTTCCTCATGTGTGAGTTCAGGCTGAGCGCGTTTACTTTCGACTTTTTTATTTTCTTGTTGCGCTTCCACGGAGGCTTTCTCTAGAGGTTTTTGCACCTTCTTCAGCGATTTTCTCCAAAGGTTTCTGCTCTTCTGCAGGAGGTTTCTCCGCAGGTTTTGGCGCTGCTGCAGGGGGTTTCTCCGCAGGTTTCGGTGCTGCAGCTGGAGTTTTCTCCGGAGGTTTCTGAGCTTCTGCAAGGGGCTTCTCCAGAGGTTTCTGCGCCTCTCCGAGGGGTTTCTCCGGAGGTTTATCTGCTTCTGCAGAAGCCCTTGATGCTTGAGGTGTTTCGTGAGTTCCTGTTGTTGTCGTGTCTTGGCCATGAGTATGTTCGTTGCTTGTGGTCTTGGCACCTGTCTCGTCCAATGCTAGAATCATTATGTATTTTTTTTCATTTGTGAATGCTAGAATAAGATGTGTTCACTTGTCATGCCGCAACATTAGCGGACACACATTAGAATGGATATCGATTTTACGCGGGCGTCATCAAAATTTCCTTTCACGAGCATACGCTAATGATACGGTATGAAGTGCGACCTGAGCACATAGCTTACTTACTTTTATCTTTCGACTTAATGGCCCCAGCTTTATCTGAAAATTGACGTGAATAGAGCAAAAGCGGAACACTCTACGTGATAGAAACTTACTGCGACTCCTTCGATTCCTTCCTTGAGGCTTGGATACTGCAGGTCGTTGTGCCGCTGCAACTCTCTCAAACTCTGTGTATTCTTCTTCCTAAATTGAAAAGATTCGCTGAGCCTGCATTACGAGGGAACAGGTGTAGAAAATGAAAAGTATAGGTATTGATCGGGTGTGGAGGGGATGGGTTGGTCAGCTGGGAACCATTAGACACAAAATAAGTTTGATCGGAGAGTGGGAGAATTAGATCATCTCAATTCCCAATATCCTGTTACTTCTCTTCTCCCATCCAACTCGAACCTGTTCCATTTCGCAGGTTTCCTTCTCCTATTCTCTTATTCTGCCATTCTCCGAAAATACTGCGAATGAACGCGGGTTGGTTGAATCCAAAACGCAGAACAATGTACTCTCATTCCTTCCGTTGGAGACACTTACGTGTGTTTCAGCTACTCCTTTGTATTTTTCGTTTTTGGAGGGTGCGGCTTTTTTTGCTTCCTCCTGAAACAATGAAAAGCTAGCCTGCATGCCCGTGCATGGTCGTTGGAACCAAGAATACCTGCCATAAAAGAACGCGACGCGTCCGTGCGTGACGAAATGCGCGAAACCTAGTCCGAGCTCAGGTTGTTCACTTTCCGCGCTATCATGTGCTCTCTGGCTGTATGCCGCTTTATACGAGATCATAGGAGACACCCTCCTATCGCAAAGGTTCAAGGCAGGTTGAAAATCGTGTCGAGGACGTGGTGAGATCAGTACCACCCCCTCCCCCTCAGATCGGTGACTCTGAGCAACTGTGCTGCCTCCGTAGCTCCGTTATCATTCCTACTCAGGCCTTTGATACTCACCTTTGGCTTCTCCGGCGCTTCGGTAACAACCTGAACATTATAAAGCCATTCATTGCTCCATAAGGTAATGCACTGAACGCACTACACACCTTGTTCTGAGATTTGCTGGGTGCTTCGGAATGGCTTTGGTTTTTACGTTATCTGACTTTGAAGCAGTGTGTTTAGCGACTTTGGCTACTGATCCTAGAATGGGTAATTTCATACGCATTTCTGAATTGTTGGGCTTTTAAATGGGCGAGATCATTTTTTGGAATTAAAGACAGTGACTGCGATAGGTTCAACCAGGGTTTTGAAGACCAATGGGTGCTCAATGGTACGCCAAATGGCGAAAAAAATCGGAGAAATCCGTCAAGAGCAGAACAGATCCCTCTTTTTGACCGTTGGTATTCACTCATGAAAAGGTGACAGCTCATAAAACGTACGTATGGACGAGTTCATCGCAACGCGTTTGGTGGCGACGTCAATACGCAAACCAGCCCTTTTGGCGCTTCGGCTGGGACCGTATGCTGAATGTTGGGGAGGGGATGGAGTCCCCGACGGTGGACGGACCACTTCAACTCGGTCCTTAGAACCGCCACAATTTGGTGCTTACCTCAGAACTAAGCCTTAAAGAGAGGACGGGTCCGTCCCCTCTCCAAGGCTTAGTCCTGAGGGTGAGCAAACCAGCCCTTCTGGCGGAGCTGCTGGACCAGCTGCACCACTTGCGTCAGTACTCTCCTATCGTACCAACCGAGTTGAAGTAAACCGTCGACCGTTGGGGACCCCATCCCCTCCCCAACATTCAGCATACGGTCCCAGCCGAAACGCCAAAAGGGCTGGTTTGCTTACCTCTTGGTGGCAGCATGCCAAACCATGCTCAATCGAGTTGCTCAGTTGTGCCGCTGCTGGCAACGCAGCTCGTCCAAATCACCAAGTAAACTAGTGGGCGGATCGCTTTTGGGGGCGGAGTGCTTTCGAAGTCCTGCTCAGCAACCAGCGCACCTTTCGTCGTGAAGCGCTACACCTCGCTTCCTGGCAGCCAAGTAACTGGTTCATGCCCTCCTCATCGTTATCGCAGCCTTTAAATTGAAGCTTCTTCGCAATGATGACGGTTACATTGAAAATTAGGGCTGGGCTTTGCCTTTACGGCCGTGACAGCGTTGTTTGTGTCGAGCAATAGATGCTACGAAAAGCGCTGCTAAACTAGAGGCGCGGGTTGGCGCTGCACACACCGTGATATGAATGGCCCTTTCTTCTTTGAAATGCCCAGAGGACCATTTATGTGCATTGAGTCGCTGCAGTCACCAACCAGCGCAATACTTCTTCCAGCCTTCTGAACCTTTGGTGCTTACTTTAAATTTACTACCTACGCGATTTACATTGAAAGCGCCCGTATAGCTGACGATTTTTGGATTTTTGGTGATTAGTATCCAAAAAGCGAAGGGTTATGTTGTGTGTATTCAGTAGTCTGGGATGGTACATCATGAAAATGTTTTTGCACGCCTTGCGGTCCAAGTGATCCTATGGTTCTCAGGACATCTGTCAACCGTGAGCCTTGGCGGTTCAGCGTTTTGTAGTGATGTCTGGGAGCTCTCACAAGTGCACACTATCACAGCATCTCCTCTTTCTTTATCTTCTTCAAAAGGCTTAGTCCCAATAAGACACAAAGTGTGTGCTTTTCCAGCTACGCTCTCACCCTTTGGTTGACAGAAGCCTTGTAACCAATCCTATTACAAGTCATTTGATACCTTTCTTATGATTTTTCGCAGGTTTTTCGGCTATGCTTTTCGATTTCTTCTTTCTGCTTTTTCCATGTTTTTCAGTGACACTTCTACTTTTGACCTGTAAAACGTTTCAAAAGCTCCCGATGAATAAAGCTGAGAAATATTACCGTGTTTTGCTGCTGATGTTTTACGAGGTTTCGGATGCACTGTTACCGCAATGCCCCGCATTCTACGCTTGCCCGTACCTTCTACTTAATTTGACGCGAAATACTGCATCACGAGGTGCAACTCGTCCGCTCACACGACTGCGTCTCGGCATTCTCGCCACGCGAGGGGTTTCCTGTCGGGCTCCCGTGCAAGAGCGCCAACTACCGGCAAAATGCACATCTTGCTCCAGCATCTTGTATAGACTCTTTCCACACTTTTCGCGGTGTTCGCACCTCTCCACTTTTGCCGCGTCCGCGCCATCCTTTTCGCCTGCACGTCACGCTTTGGCGCAAAGGATGAAAGCAGTCTCAGGAACGTCGTCGGCATGAGCCAACAAGGGTTGATACTATAGTGATCGAGTGGGTGATAGCGCCACGCTCTCCACATCTACATATCTACGACAACATTCAGGCCCCGTTCATAGCTCAAGACTTCGGCTGTAAGGCGCAGAGGTGGGATTCTATCAAACGAAGTGAGTGCATATCGATTGACTGGACTCCGCCGTATAGCGTCACATGCGAGATAGCGTCTGCAATTCAGCGATCGCGCGAGGCGAAGATGCCACGGGTTGCCTTGCCTACTCGCCCAAGTGATACGTATCCTTTTCTTATCGCCTACTCGCTAATCGATTCGTATACTTTTCATTTTGAATCATCGCCTAATCGCCTAATCGCCTAATCGCACGTACAATCGCCAACTATGAACATCCATTACTGACGAATAGCCGCTTAGGTGTTCTGCTTTCAATAGTCTTACCAGTTTGCGTTGTTTTCCCTCGTGAATGCTTTAGACATTGATGAGTTGCATATCATTCATTATCACTCATCGATGAGTTTCTGACGCGTCACGACGCGTGCGTCCCTTCTGCGAACGTGCTACAAATCATTTCATCGCCCCATCGCCTCAGCGCCTAATAGTCTCGAGCTATGAACGGGGTCTCTAAACAGTTTGAAAAAATTAGGCTTTTCACGGCCTGAGGTTTGGACCGATTTTCATAATTTTCAATCAACACGGAGGGAGAGCTTCCAAACTAACATCGATTACGGTGCTGTAAAAAAATCAACAGTCAGTCGTAACATACAACAGTGACTTTTTCTGGAGTCACATCACTTCTGGCAGTTTTCAATGATTTCAGTGATGCACCAGTTCCTGCGGTTATTCTTTTGAGTACATTCATGTTCGTGATAATTTCTTTCGAATGTTGCCTAATGAGAAATGCTGCAAAATTCTGAGGGGCGACCTGGAATGAGAAGTGATCTTGTAATCGCTTATTATGAGTGATGAGGAGAAAATTTTCCTCTTCAAAATGTCCTGAAAGAATGATCGATATTCACTGAGTTCACCATGAACTTGAATTAGAAATGTTGCGAGGAATAGAACCGATGTAACACTCACAGACGCGATGCTCAACGTTTCTCCACTGCTCGCTCAATACGTTAACCACCAAATGAACCTTCCTCAGTGAAAACCATCCTCAGTTGCTGGAAGGACTGATAAGTAGATTGTGAGGATGAATGAATAATATTGCCATATATGAAACGATGAGCGTGTCTGTTGATGTGTATAGGTGTATGCGCCCATGAGTTCAACTAGAAATTCGTAACGCCCATTGCAGCGGCGAGCGGACTTTTAAGAGCAATCCGGAGGTATTTCTCGGAAGGACTCAGAAAACAGGTGTCGCCGATGCTGTCACGCTAAAAGTATGTTGGGTAGGACGGAGACATTGATGGTAGGTGATAGGAAATGATAGCAACCAATGAGCACTGATAGCATGAACGCAGGCGTCAGCACCACCCGTATGCCTTTGAGTATGTGCAAAAAAGTGGTGTTCCAATCCCTCTAGCTGTCAGGATAAAAGGATAAAGCATTTGCCGTTGATCAATCCCTTTTTGGGATGCGGCACGCATTCTTCCATTTGTACATTCGTAGTGGCGTTTGAATGCGATGTGGCCTATACAATGACTTGCGGGGGCCAGCCGATGTACAAGTCAGTGTTTTTATCCCAGACAAGTCTGGTACCAATTAACCGACCCCGGAGGGATGGAAGGCTTGGTTGGCCCGGGCGACTCACGACCCAGGATTTGATCCCCGGACCGCTCGCGTGGTAAGCGTGCCACTTGCCACTACACCACTTCCGCCCCTCCAGTTGGCAGAGTTTGCAATAGCAGACGTGTTCCTCCACTGATCTCCTGCGTCTATCGAGCCGGTTTGCTAGAGTCCCAAAGAGCATTTGTAATTGTTTCTGATCAGAAAAACCCAGCAGTGACAACGATAATGTGTTCGCATCTCAGCATACACTAGCCGCCTCTCGCTCTTTCAGGCGATTGCAATACTGTCTTGTGACATACCTTCAGCGTTTTGGCTGGGGCTGAAGCATTTATCCTATGATTTTACTTTCCCTCACTCATTCACTTTTTTCTCGTTTTTTTGGTATCGAATAGCGACGTATGAATTCCTTAAAGGCAAGATTCAGGATTGAATTGATGAGGTAATTCCACTCAAATGTGAAAGTAGGGGTAGGAGGTGGACCGCCAGTGGAGAAAAAAAAATCGTGAAATACACAGGAAATACGAGCCTTTTGCTCTACGCTGCGGAGAAGTTCAAAAGGCCGGCAGGGAGATGAGAGATAATGTGAGCGCGGAGAGCGGTAGAGAAGTCCGAGTAGAGAGAGCATAGCAGATCAATTGCGACGCAGACAAGATATCGAGCGGTGGGCGGAGCGTGTCGCAACAGGTGGAGCGTGTCAAAGTTCTTAGCGCCTAGCGTCTAAGTAACGCTTTTCGAAGTAGGGAAGTGACGCGACCTCTACACTTGCGTACCTAGCGCTTCTAGCCACCGTAAAGGCTCATTAAGTGGGTCTGAGCCCGAACTTTGCCTTTAACCCGGAGCACGCACCCTGCTGCCATCGCGTGGACTTCGAGGGTCTGACGGGCCTACTAAGTTTGTATGCGGAGTCGCATGTAAGCTAATGGCTTGCAGTATTGGCCGGCTATTGCCCTTCCCTCCGCAACTTTCGTACCTCCTCTCCCCTCCCCTGACCATCGCAGTTGGTCCTAAGCCTTACACCTGTTTAAAGCCTCGAGTGAGGATTAGGCGATCATAGAAGGCCTTTCCCTCTCTACTGTGAGGCTCCGTGTCAACAGAATCGTCAGCGTCGCCGCGCCAGTAGGCGTGGCCACGACGGCGCGGCGAGTGGGCGTGTCCTTTGCCAGATATCGGATGTGCGAATGGCGTGAAGCTTTTTGAGTATTCTGGTAACATTGCAAAAGAGTAAGTGCAACTCCTAATTTCAAAACCTGCTTCCCCCACATGGGAGCAAAACTCCAGCCATTTTTATTGGTTCATGATGCTTTATATTATAACACTCTTATCTACTATGATGAGCATATGGCCTTTTTGGGCTATGTGATTGAGATGATATAATTCGGCTGGAAAGTTTAACCTGTAACTCCTTCAAGCTGCACGACTATTTTTCGAAACACACTGTTCTCTATGAGAACAGAACGACAGCGAGCAACAAGGAACTAGGACGATTAAGGTGGTGTTCCTATCTTTGCTCTGTTTGGAAATGCTTCCTGGACAAAAAAAGTTGAGCTTTTCTGAAGTCGCAATGAGCTGAAAACAATCCTTCGACTTTTCCGTTGCAACACCAAGGTAATTGCTTTGAATACGCAGTGACTCAGCTCCTCTGTTCACAGCTTCCCAACACGAAAAGCCAGTACAGCGCTCAGAGGGGTGACGCCACGCCTCTGTC